ACAGAGAGACCCACGCGAAAATCCTATCCACGGTTAGTGGCCGACGTGGTGGGGCATGACACGTAAATTCCACCTCTCCTTCTCGCCTCCCAGACCACGAGTACGCAAGGACGACGATTTACGTTTCGCGACAATCGCGACAGTCCGAGTTCCGAGGGGGGAAAATCGCCAACGAGTGGGCGAGAGAAAGAAACATTTACGAACGGGACAGAGAGGGGGGGAGGAGCAGTTGGAAGGAACGCGAGAAGGGTCACAGGGAGGGATGGATAGATGGGAGGACAAACGGTGTCGATGAGGTGGACGAAGGAGAGAGAGAAAGAGAGACGGACTACCATTATGTTACTATCGAATCACATCGTCGAGAAAGAAAGACTCCTCATCTCGATCGTTGATCTTAATCTTTTCTTCGTCGATCTCGATCTTGTCGCTTTTCTCGCTCGTGCGTCTTTCTCCAGTGTTTTTCTCTTTCTCTCTCTCTCACTGTCTCTTCCTCGACACATCTTTTTCCTGACTAGGGCACGAGGCTCCCGCGGGAGACGATCGCGACCGCGAGATCGACCTACCCGCGGCGACGCACCCCGAGCTTCCCATTTATGTAAACGCAACGAGCGATCGCGCGCATCAGAGGCGCACGAGCGACGGCGACGACGACGACGATGATGATGACGATGACGAGGATGGCGTTCATCATAGCATCGCGAACGTCACGCGAGATTCCGCGATCCATCCGCCAGAGGGGTTGCTGGCCTGAAAAGCCACGAGCACATACCCTCTGATTCACTTTAACCTTAATCGCGAGGCCAGGCCAAATCAGGCCTAGCGAAACGAAACGAAACGTCGATCCGCTGCGGATATCCCCGCGTCGAATTTGGTTCAAGTCTTTTCGCACGTTGACGGTCTGCCCTGCCCGCAAACGCGCGTCGGCGCCAAGTATATTTTTCGTGCACGGTCCTTTATTTACTTACATCAACTCACGACTTTTCCGCTAACAAATCTCTCTCTCTACTGGGAAATTTTTCACTAGTGTTCCACTCTGGCCCCGGGATTCGCGGTTGGTGTTTGGCTGCGATTGCGCACAAGCCGGATGTCGCGCGCGCCGCCGCGGCCTTTCCTCTTAAAGCCCGTATCAGACTATCGACTCTGCAAACCGACCCGACTGTTGTCAACTCTGGCTGTTGACCAATAATGGACCAATCACATTGGCCGCGTTCAGCAGACTCAACAGTTTTGCAACCGTTTTATGATTGTCTGCTGAGATAGGACCATTCTTCTAGATTTAAAAGTATGATCCAATTAGCGCGAAGGAAACTTCCAACAGTTGCAAAACAAACGTTCTGCTGAACGCAGCCATTGGCTGCGTTCAGCAGACTCAACAGTTTTGCAACCGTTTTATGATTGTCTGCTGAGATAGGACCATTCTTCTAGATTTAAAAGTATGATCCAATTAGCGCGAAGGAAACTTCCAACAGTTGCAAAACAAACGTTCTGCTGAACGCAGCCAATGACTCAGTCTTATTGTGATTGGTCTATTATTGATCGGCAGTCATAGGCTGCGGTCCACTTGACGCTACAAACGCTTTGAAGCGTTTGAGCGACCAATCAGAACAAAGAATTTTACGAATTGACTAATCAAAAAATGCTTCGAAGCGTTTGTAGCGTCAAGTGGACCACAGCCAGGGTTGGCAATCGGCCTGCAGAATCGGTAGTCTGATACGGACTTAATGCCTACTGCACACTGGATGCGGTGAGCAATATCTAATGGGTGCATTCAGTACCACGACCACTCACTGAGCGCTCAGTGAGCTGTTTGGTCTATATTTTTAGTTCTACCGGAACATGCCAATAAGATACAAGCGCTCACTGAGCGCTCAATGGCTGCGTTCAGCAGAACGTTTGTTTTGCAACTGTTGGAAGTTTCCTTCGCGCTAATTGGATCATACTTTTAGATCTAGAAGAATGGTCCTATCTCAGCAGACAATCATAAAACGGTTGCAAAACTGTTGAGTCTGCTGAACGCAGCCATTGAGTGATCGTAGTACTGAATGCACCCAATGAAAGCTCTGCTTTTAAGGTAAATTTTCACGAGCTGCTCAAACCGGCTGTTTCAGTGACAAAAAGGATCACGTGATCGAAATGGATGCTTGATATTTGTCAATTGTGACCACGTGATCCTTCTTGTCGCTGAAACAGCCTGTTTAAGCAGTTCGTGAAAAGTTACCTTTACTCACGTGACGACGCAAAACCGAGTTCTCATTGGCTGCGTTCAGCAGAGAAAGCAGCTTTGCAACTGTTGTAAAATTCTTCAATATGTTTGGTTTATACGTTTAGATCTGTAAGGAACCAAAAGCAAGAACCAATCGTATTGAAGAATTTTACAACAGTTGCAAAGCTGCTTTCTCTGCTGAACGCAGCCAATACAATTGATTCTTGCTTTTGGTTCCTTACAGCTAAAGCGTATAAACCAATCATATTGAAGAATTTTACAACAGTTGCAAAGCTGTTTTCTCTGCTGAACGCAGCCATTGGATATCGCCATCGCTCATTGCCAATTGCGTCCAGTATGCAGTTAACATTATGGCTCCGCCATACCAGCGCGAATCGCGACGCGCGAAATTCAATCAACGTACAGCTCTTCTGGAAAAATAGTACGTTGATTGGGTATCGCTCTACTAGTGATAGACAATATAGGGAATCGATTGTGTATATATGTCAAAATAAGGTGAAAATTACAAATGAGCAAATTCACTAGAATACTCATAACTTACAGCGAATTCGATTGGAAGAACTAGTGCGCACTGGTGCATATTAAAGCCGTTGTACACTAATTTAATTTAAGTATAAAAATGAAATGTAAATATTTCGAATTATGAAATACATATTTTACCTAATAGTACAATAAAATGTATTAAGTATTTCACGATTTAATCGATCTCTATGTTTATTTATAAACATATCTTTACGTTATTTCGTGTACGACGGCTTTAATGTGTACCAGTGCGCACTGAGTGCGTCCAATCGAATTCGCTATTAGCGTCGGTAGTAAGTAGCTTGCAGCTCGGTGCGATTAAAGCCTGATTTATAATGGCCGTAACCGTTAACTTATGCTGGTGCCGGTAAAGTTCAACCATAGGATTTCAATGCTTTCGTTAGTATGAACGAAAGCATTGAAATCCTATGGTTGAATTTTACCGACACCGGTATAAGTTAACGGTTACGGCCATTATAAATCAGGCTTAAGAGGTTGCGCAGAATAAAAGAAACAGAAAATAGAGAATAAAAGCTACTTTTACCAACTCCGATTAACTTAGGCCCAATTCCACAAATCACGATTAACTCTTAATAGAGGTTCAACTTGTTTCTCATCTCTTTCCAATTCTAGAATTGGAAAGAGACAATGAATAAATTGAACCTTGGTTAAGAGTTAATCATGAATTGTGTAAGTTAATCGGAGTTAGTAAAAGTGGCCCTTAAGGATTCCCTTAATAGAAATTTCAACGCTTTATTTCCATCAGGGGTATAGTAAAAAAGTGGATATTGCTGTGTAATCGACATCCTCTTCTTCAGAGGGCGATAGTGCGTATAAAAACTAGCGTATAAAATATAAAGAACTTTTTAACCAATCAAAGCAAAGTTCACTAAACTTGAGATTTACTTTCTTTCTTCTAGTTAAATTCCAGTCCAATGTCAATCGCGATCTCACTCGATATGCGTATTAACTAGTAACTTTCTATTAAATCATTTTAATTTCAGCAATGTATTTAAAGAATAATGTACTAAAGTGATACAATAAGCTTCAAAATGATTAATTAAATACGCATATTATGTATTGCTCGGTCCACAATCTTGTTTTATAAGGCCATAAGCTGTAAGCTGTAAGAAATTGACCAATCGTCGATTATTTTTCTCATATTCAACTGTGACCTCTGCTACACGGCACGCTTAATCGGATTTAATAACTTACGTAGTTATGAAATTATCCAATCATAGCTGTTCCTCGGAAGAATGAAACGACTGTGATTGGCCAGTTTCATAACTACGAATGTTATTAAACTCGATTAAGACTGCCGTGTAAATGTAGTCTGTGATTAGTCAATTTCTTAAGTCCGGATCTACTACTATTTCTTAAGTACGGATCACCTAATAGATGTTTTAAAACTTAAGCTGTAAGAAATTGACCAATTACAGTCGAATCCGAGAGGAATAATCGACTGTATTCGCCCATTTCTTATGGCTTAAGGCTTAAAACCCTATTGTAGATCCGGGATATAATGGCCATTCTACAATAAGCCATTAGTCATAAGTTCCTTAGTTAGTACCCATATCAAGTGCATGATGTAAACTAGCCTTCGTCTTTGATTTGCATTGTGCATTTGTTCCTTTATCACCTCATTTTCTAAATTCCCATCAATTCCCGCTCTTGCACCTTGCTACTAAGCACAAGTGCATAATGCCAAATTGATGCAGCCAATAGATATAAGCTCGAATTCCCATATGGTGATTTCCATCGTTCGAAACAATAATTGTAGCTTAAAAATTAGTTCTATTGTTAGTATTATTGCAAATAATTGAGGCCATATCATCCGTATAGTCTCTGTAAATTTTTTTGCAATATAAAAATGAATGCTATAATTACTTACATCTGAATATAAAAATAAATACTAAACTGTATAGTGTCCCAAACTTTTTGACACTTGTGGACATGTAGAATGGACACCGCTTGTGAGCAGGTAGAATGGACTTAACGATTCTAACAGTGCAAAACTCATATTATTACACACATGCATTATACATTATATTTTTACAATAATTACAATGTATAAAATATTATCCTCATTCAAATTTGTTGAACAATGAATTTAAAAAAATTGTATACTTTCATAATCATTATGTGTGACAAGACAAACATCTTTACAGATTAAAAAAAATGGTCTGTATCCAATTATTATATCTATTTTACAAAGTTATTTAAATTAAACCAAACTGAAATTAAATTTAAATTATATTTATAATTCTCAGCTTGTTTTGACTGAGTTATGTTTCTTTGAGCTCCTTTCATATTTATGAATAACGCCGAACAGTGGATCCCTTGTTCTTAAATTATCAGGGAACTGTACGCTAGGGCTCTCGGTAGATACCGGCTTTACTTCCGGCGCTTCAGACAATTTTCTTCTTACTGACAAGAAACCAGTTGGCTTGATATTTACTATACAGGAAATATCAGTATTAATATAAAAGGGAATATAACAAATATGCAATACTTCTCTTTTGATTTCCTAATAAAAAATTTTTTACCAGTTTTGTACTGTGGAGCATCCTTCTGAGAATTAAGAACACATGTGACATTGTGATTTGTGTTATGAGGGACTATACAATATCGTTCATTTTTAATTTTGAACTTTGACTTGTTCTCGAAAACTATAGTTCGACCATGAAGTTCTTGTGGGTCTACCTACATAACACAAGATTATATCCTCAATTCATTTTGCCAGTTCAATCTTACATTCAAGATTGTCTTAAATATAATTTTGAAATACTACTCCAAGTTTTGAACTGGTGTATACTGGTGCAATAAATAAAAATGAGACGGGTATAGTTTATTTCACTCTAACATACTAATGCCCATATTTATAGTCAGGCCTTACATTGAAGATTTCCTTAAATTTATCTTCAGATGCTTTACGAATTATTTCATTGGCTACTGAGCATCTAAAGATAAATTTAAGGAAGCCTCAAGTACAAGATCTGATTATAAATACGGACATTATTGTACTAGAATCAGTTCAGAATTTTTTGAAAAAGAACAGATCTACAGTAAGCTTTTAATTTTTTGCTCTAAGTTCTGAGCTGATTTTAATTTACTATAAGCTAAATTTGCTCTAAACTTTATAGTTGAGATCTAACCAGTTTGCTTAAAACTTACAGTCTATTCAGATAAACATATGCATAAAGAAAATTATTTAATCCGATTTCTGTTATGCACATAAAATGCAGTTGAATAATTTTCTTTATGTATACATTAATATGATTACACAAATTTGTCTGAATATACTCATAGGATGTTTTCTTTAATATTCATAACACTTGCATGCATCATCTTATCCTTGTTTAATATTTGATGACAAGAAGATGAAATGATACTTGCAAGTGTTGCGAATGTTAAATGCAATGCACCATTAAAGAATCTTAAGACTTAAGATAGTATTGGAAACATTTTTTTGCCAGAAAAGTGTCACAATTTAAAAATTAGAATAAAAAGTTAAAGAGACTTTCTACACCTAATATAAATTTAGGTATTAAAATTGTTCTCATTACTTAAAATATCGACGAAATACTATTAAAGACCGTTGGCCCTTGGCAAATTTTCGTGATTTTTAATAGGACTCAGGAAAAATCAAAGAATGACATTACTGATAACTAATAAAAATTTACGATTATTAACATAAATATTTCGATAATTTATTATTAAATTCATGATTTTTTATTAGGTAAATGCTGTATAAATAAGTACGCATACTTTTAATGCTATATCTTATATATTGCTGAAAAATTACAATTTTTTTCTGCGGTTATCATCTCTATTGATAATCAAACTAGGATAACATTAAAATCATAGTTTTAAATAAAAATCGAGTATTATTAAGTTTTAAACACATGTATATATATATATGTCTATGAAACTAAATCATGAAATTAATACTGTATTATCAGTTTCTTACTCTTAGATCCAGTTGCACCGTTACTTTGACTTTAAATAAGGATTAAAACTCTCTGGCTCTATCTCTTTCACTTTAAAACAAGACAGAGGGAGTTTTAAGTCATGATTAAAGTCAAAGTAACGTTGGTGCAATCAGACTTTAATCACTTAAATTTTAACAATCATGCAACTTCCATAAGTGCCGACCGTCTTTAATAGTACCTCATCAGTGCTTAAGGCAATCTTGATTATGAGATTAAACTATGTCTCTTCCATTGTCTTGGACTTACTAATCTAGGAATGTCCATTATCCAGATTTCTTCACTGTCCGATACATCTTCCAAATTAAATGTGGAAGATACATTTTCCTCATTCAATGTCTCCTTTTCAACTATTTCTTTAAGCTGAAAGATAAATAGATAATTGCATAAACTTGTTCTCTTTCACAATTAAAATTATACTTAAATAGAAATTATGTAGAAACTATAATAAAAATTAAAACAATAAAAATTTAAATTTAAATGGAATAATGATCCACTTACAGTGCGCGGTCTAGACAAAACTGAGGTGGACAATTCATTAAATGTCACCTCGTTTGATCTGTTAGCGTCGTCGTTTGAGGTCTGCATAATCTCATCGTCCGCCACGTTTTTGTCAAGCGATTTGTTAGATTTCTTCAGGGTGCTTTTGCGCGATTTAACAGGACTGCTGCGCATTTTGGACGGCTGCTCCTCTGTCTTTATCGTGATAGATTTACGCTTGTGGTTTGGAGGTGGCGTATGCTCGGCGTTCTCCATCAATACCATCGACTTGTTCAATTGGGTGTTCAGTTCCGTTACCGAGTCTTCATTAACGGAGTCTGTCATTTTTTTGAAATTGTCCTAAATTATGGTGTAAATTGTTCGACAAAACAGTTTCACCAACGAACATTAGCAATAAAGCACGAGCACAGAACACGTTTGATAGGTTATGTTCCGTTACACAAGAGATATCAAACCACAGTACATACTATGATCAAACCAAATCGCAATCGTAAAGTACATTGGGTGCGTTCAGCAGAACGTTTGTTTTGCAACTGTTGTAAGTTTCCTTCGCGCTAATTGGATCATACTTTTAGATCTAGAAGAATGGTCCTATCTCAGCAGACAATCATAAAACGGTTGCAAAACTGTTGAGTCTGCTGAACGCAGCCATTCACGAGGTCACCAGTAGCGCAACTCTCTGGCCTGATTTACACCGTACGTTTTTTCCGCGGCCTATACCCTAAATTCGACCTAATTCAGGTCACATTGGCTGCGTTCAGCAGAACGTTTATTTTGCAACTGTTGGAAGTTTCCTTCGCGCTAATTGGATCATATTTTTAGATCTAGAAGAATGGTCCTATCTCAGCAGACAATCATAAAACGGTTGCAAAACTGTTGAGTCTGCTGAACGCAGCCATTAGCTGCGTTCAGCAAAGAAAGCTGCTTTGCAACTGTTGTAAAATTCTTCAATATGA